GTAGTAGTAGTAGTAGTAGTAGTAGTAGTCGGAGTAGGAGTAGGAGTAGGAGTAGGAGTAGTAGTTGGAGTAGTAGTAGTAGTAGTAGTAGTAGTAGTAGTAGTAGTAGTAGGAGAAGGAGGAGGAGATGTGGAGGAGGAGGGGGAGGAGGAGATGTGGAGGCGGAGGAGGAGGTCAAGCCCTGTCAGGGAGAGGATTCAGCCCTCAGGGTCCCCCGTGGGCCATCGTCCCTTGGCTCCACCAGCCTGCCGCCTCCAGGCGGGGATGCGGGGCCACGGGGCCCCAGGGCCCGACGGATGCGGCATCTGACTCCGCCAAGAGCTGGGACAGTGGGGAACAGGCGCATCGCATGGGGATAGGGATCGGTCTGCGGTAGGTTCGCATCGTGACGGCGCGGCAGCGACCCCGCCGCGGGCGTTCAAGGTTGAGCCTCGCCGCTGGCCCAAAACCAGTCGGTGTGGACCGATCTTGCGTTCAGGCTTGAACGATCCCCTCGGTTTCAAAGGCCAATGCTGCAGTTTGTCACGACTCGAACCTGCCGCACAGTCAGCACCCATAGCAAGGACGCGTTTCGTCATCAAGGCCACCGCTGCATCCCTACATCTTCGGTTCGTTCGTTCACTCTGTTGACTTCCACGGAGATCTGCTGTCGGGAACTACAGGATAGCGTGTCGATCCGCCGGTTCTGGCCCACCACGCTTCGGCGCGACATGCCAGTATCCACGGCCTGGTCCCCGAGAGTCAACGTCCCCAGCTTTTCCCAGCCTCCCACCCCTCGGAGCGGAGGGACACGCTATCCGCTCGCAGGGCATAGCGTGTCGCCTGGGCCGCCGCCGCGACACGCTGTGCAAGAGTTCCTGACCGTACATGAATGGTTCATAGGACTTCTAAGGATCTTGCATCCTCACCTGGCCTCCTTGCGGCCACGGCACGGCACGTTACGGTCTGGCATCATGGGCACGCGGCACCGGTACGAAGTTCGTTGTGTCCGGTTCTGACCGGCGGTGCCAGTAGAGCCGGTACGGTCGCAGGACCCTGCGGTATACTTGTCCTGGTACGGTGCCGGGACTGCGCGGCGCCGGTACGGCTCTGGGAGCAAGGCCAGCTTACCAGACGACCATACTTGGCTGTTACAAAAGGGGAACAACAAATGACATAAACATAACAATTGGGAGGTCCGCGCGGATTTCTCGGATCGGCGCTGGACCCTCGCCCTGGCGCGCGGAGCGCGCCAGGGGCGGCGCGGGAGGCGCCGCCAGGGGGGTCCAGCGCGGATTCGGGAAATCCGCGCGGACCTCAGAGTTTTTATGTTTATGTCATTCTTCGTTTTCTTAATATCAGGCGATAGTTTTATTCGGAAAGTGAGCCGCCCTCCATCCGTGTGCGGGAGGTGGGAGGGAGGTGGGAGGGAGGTGGGAGGGAGGTGGGAAGGTGGGAGGAGGTAAGGAGGAGGCAGGGGGGGAGGGAGAAACGAGGGGGAGCGGACCGGGGGCGGGGGGATGCACGGGGGGGGGGCAGGTGCGCACCGCCGGAGGGGGGGTGCGCACGGGGTGTAGGGTGCGCACGCACCAGACCTCCCGGGTCTGGAACGGGTGGGGTCCAGACCAGTCAGGGGGGGCGGCCCGGATCAGGGGGGTCCGGACTGGGGGGCGTTTGGACGGGGGGTCAGGATTCCGATTCCGATTCCGATGCGAGAGCCCGTCGGGATTCGATTCCGGTCCGATCCGGCGCGCGTGTTTCCGATCTTTGTCCGATGCGATGCTGGGCCTATCCGATTCCGAGTTTACGATTCGATTGAATGGGACCTTCCGTTGCTCTCGTTGTCGAGTACTGTCGTCGTTGTCGTCGTCGTCATCGTCAACGTCGTCGTCGTCGTCGTCGTCGTCGTCGTCGTCATAGTCGCCAGCCGGCTGCCCGCGACGGCGAGCCTAGAGCCTCGCGGGCGGGGCCCGGCGCCACCAGGGGGAGGGGTGCGAGGGGTGCGCACCGGAGGGGGGGGGGCTCACCAGGGGTTGGGAGGGACGCGCCCCAGGGGGAGGAGGAGGAGGAGGAGGAGGAGGAGGAGGAGGAGGAGGAGGAGCAGGAGGAGGAGGAGGATGAGAAGGAGGAGGAGACGGAGGAGGAGGAGGAGCAGAAGGAGGAGGAGGAGCAGAAGGAGGAGGAGGGGGGGGGGGCGCACAGGGGAGTGGTGCACCGCATCCAGGACTAATCCCAACCGACTGTGACGAATCCAAACCAACGGGTACTTTTCCCACCAGCTCGGAAAGACAGACTGGTCCTAATTCCAACCAGCCAATTCACCTCACTGTACGATCATCATCGCGAGGCGATGCCAGTGTATCCCCAAGCCACATACTCTGCTTATGTGTGCACACTTGTTCCAGAAGCTAGCATGGTTGCCCTGTTTGGAATTTGTACCAGGCTTGTCCAGGGATGTTACTGTAAGGTTGTGAGGGTTTAGTGGTTTCAGGGTTTAAGGTCTGTAATGTCTCATGACTTCAGGGTTTAATGACTTTCGAATTTAGGAGGTGTACATGTTTGAAATAATTGAAGGACCAATGGTTTAAGGGCTCAAGGGTTTAGGGCTTATTCAAAGGTCCACGTGTTTAAGAGCTGACTGGCTCAAGGGTTCAAGGGCTTACGGGTTTAAGGGTTTAACCGGTCAAGAGTTGACATATGTAGGGTTTGACGAGCTAGAGGGTTCAAGGGTTTAAGGGCTTGAAGGGTTTTACAGGTTTCAGGGCTTCAGGGTTTACGGATTTACTGGTTTCAAGGGGTTGAAGGTTCAAGGGCTTACATGTGTAAGGGTTTGAGGCCTTACGGGTTCAAGACTGAAGGGTTTGAAGGCTTAAAGGGTTCGAGGGTTGAAGGAATTCTGGGCTCAAACGTTTCAAAGGTTCAAGGGCATACGTGCTTACGGATGCAATGGGTTTATGGCTGAAGGGCTTAACGGTTTAAGGGCTGTTCAGGGGCTAAAGGTAAGAATTTGGCGAGCGAGGGGGGGTGGAAGGAGGAGATGAAGGAGAGGAGGAGGAGGATGAGGAGGACCAAGGAGGAGGAGGAGGGGGAGGAGGTGAGGAGGAGGAGGGAGGAGGAGAGGGGGTAAGAAGGAGGAGGAGGGGAGGAGGAGGAAGGAGGGAGGAGGAGGAGAGGAGGAGGAGAAGGAGAAGGAGAGAAGGAGGAAAGGGGGAGGAGGGGGAGAAGGAGGCGGAGGGAGGAGGAGGAGGCGAAGGAGCAGGAGGAGGAGAGGAGAAGGAGGAAAAGAGGAGGAGGAAAGGAACAGAGGAGGAGGAGGAGGAGGAGGAGGAGGAGGAGGAGGAGGAGGAGGAACAGAGGAGGAGGAAAAGAGGAGGAGGAGGAACAGAGGAGGAGGAGGAGGAGGAGGAGGAGGAGGAGGGGGAGGAACAGAGCATCCCGTGTCCGGCCCCGGAGGCTGAGGTCCAGGGAAGCACCGCGGGAGGGAGCGGATTCGCATCCTCGGCTCTCTGAGGTTGTGCCGACGTCGAGGGTCGCGGGGCGGCTGCCGGAGGGCACGCCTCCGCCCCCCGAGTGGGGGGGGATCTCCAATAATCCTTACGAGGGAACCCGAAATAAGTAGTTGGTGCAAAGGAGCCATTACTAAGGGATTCTCAATAATAAGTCATTAATCAAGAATCTGAATGAATGAACCTTGATTAAGGAATACGTTTGAAGGAATCTCGATTGAGGATCTCTGTGATAAGGGCTTGGGGGGGCCGATCGGTCGAGCGGCCGGGAGGCGCGCTGAGCCCCGGCCGGGTGCTGGCGGCCGACTCGCCCGAGGCGCTGCGGCTGCTGCAGGGCGGGCAGCCCGCCGCAGGCCGCGGCGGCGGGCCTGCGGGTCGGCCTCTGGACGTCGGGTGTCCCAGGCCCCCTCGCGTCGTGAGGGAGCACGGCGGGGCCCGAGAGCGTCCAAAGCGAGCCCAAGACGGTCGCCAGACGCTTGGCATCGCTCGGACGTGTGCATTTTCCCTCTGGCGAGGACCATCGAGGAGCATCCTTGATCATTTGGCAAAAACCGCGCACGAAACCGAAAAATGAACAGGAAATGGACGTCCGAGCGATGGCCAGGACGGCCCGAGAGGCCCTCAGGGCGCTCCAGGCGGCTCCCAAGAGGACCCCAAAGTAGCACAAGCCGCCAGGGTCCCGCAGGAAAGCGTGCACTTTTAGAGCAGTCGCTCCTCTGGTCTGAGCAGCAGGCGGCCCAAGAGGCCCCCAACACCGCCCCAAGACAGCCCAAGAGGTCCCCAAGCGGGCCCCAAGACGCCCTCGCTGGGCCTCGGGGCCGTCCAAAAACGACTCGAGGGACGAAGAGCGGGTCCCGGGGATGGGGTCCAGGTTTCTGGGGGTCGACGTTATGAACATCGGGAGCGGAAAAGAGGGGGGTGATGACTAGGGGGGGTGGATATCATGGCGGGGGCCATGATATTTCCCCAGATTTCATGGCGCCCCTTCTTATTTCATTACGTCCCTGGCCCCCCCGCTGGGCCGCGCACATGCCGCCGGTCATGATTTCCACCCCCCCCTCTTGGACACCCCCCTCTTGGCCGCTCCCGAGAACAAAATCAAGACTCCGGGCCATCTTCAGCGGTACCGTAACAGGTACGCACTAATGGGCACTGGAAAGATGCCGAACGTCGCCACTTTAGGACCTCTTTTGGGGCATCGCAGCGTTGCCCACATCGGGGAGGGTTGCGTTCACCCGGTCACTGGCCAGAGTGCCCGTTAGTGGAGTGCCCATTAGAGGGGCGCTGACATTCTCTGGCGTCGATCGATGAGGGGAGCTGACAAGGTTCACCTTATTCCGCCCTGAAGGGGCTTGTTCGTGTGTCCGCAAGAGCAGTGGGCGTGCGATGAGTGAGGGGGTTGCCGAAAGTGCACCTTTGTTGTCGCCCTACAGGGGCCCTATGATAGAGGCCCAGAGGGGGCACGAACGGGGCGCGCTCCCCCCCCCATGTTGTATCGCCTGAACCGGGAACGTGCATCTACACAAATACGGTAGAGGGAACCAATTACTGAACACTCCCCTCCCCCCCAACCTCACTGTTGGCACGCGCGGGGGAGACTGCGGTCGAAGTGCATCTCATCAGACCCACCGCCAACTTTGCACATTGGGTGGAGGGGGAGCCGTTGACACATGAATGTGGCATGACTGTTCGCTAAGTTGTTCCGAAGCCTGTACTTACGTGCGGAGATCCGCGCGGATTTCTCGGATCGGCGCCTTGGACCTCCTGGCGGCGCCCCCCGGCGCCGCACTTGGCGCGCTCCGCGCGCCAGGGAGGTGGGAAAACCGGCGATGCGGCGCGATCCTCCGACCCCGTCTACTCCGACCCCACTCAGGCGGCCTCTATTTCCACCACGACCATACATTGGAGGGGGGAGGGGGTCCTCGTCCCCCTCTTCTTCTTCTTCCTCCTCCTCCTCCTCCTCCTCCTCCTCCTTCCCCGCTCCAACTTGTGGTGGTGGTGGTGGAACACGGGCCCATCAGCAGCGGTGCACGCCGCCGCTGGCACAGAGTCGGCCAGCACGGAGAGATCCTGCGTCCCAGACCGCCCTCGCGTTGTGACAAAACTCTCGGCGTTTTTTCATTTCCCCGTTTTCGGCCCCATGGGGGCCCTCACCGGGGCCTCGCAGCGTCAGGCAACGCTTCGGGATGAAAAGCCGGTCCCGGGCAAGGGGTCCAGACCTCTGGAGGTCGACGTCGTGGAAAAATCACGACGTCGGGGCTCTGGGCACGGAGAAGCCGCCGCTCGTTCAGGGTCGAACGATGCACGCAGCGTCAGCAACCAGCGTCAGCATCGTCACGACACGAAGCTACCGTAAGTATTCGTACTTCCCAGCCTGTCGCCTTGTCTCCCCTGACCCCCGACGGCATGGTTTGTTCATATACGGTGCACCCCCGCAGGTCCCGACCAATTCCCCGGGACCGGATTTTTCATCCCGAGTGGTTTTACCTCACGGCCCTCCGGCTTGGCGAGGGCCCCGGGAGGTCAGAATGGACGATTGTGTGGCCGTTTTTTTTTTTTTTTTTTTTTTTTTTTTTTTTTTTTTTTTTTTTTTTTTTTTTTTTTTTGTTGTTGTTGTTGTTATATATATATATATATATGTATCGGAGGTTGGGGGGTGAGATCGAAGTGGAACGGAGAGCCCCCCTACCAGGAAATCGATTTCAGTTTCGTGTTCGTGCGTGCCGTGCGGGCGAGGCGAAGCTGCGTGGGCGGGCGAGAGAAAGTCTCCTGTGGCTGAGGCGCGGCCGGACCAAATGATTCCCTTCCGGGCGGCCGGGGCCCCGCGGTGTCCCGCCGGTGTCCCGCTGGTGTCCCGTGTGGCTGAGGCGCGGCCGGACCAAATGATTCCCTTCCGGGCGGCCGGGGCCCCGCGGTGTCCCGCCGGTGTCCCGCGGTGTCCCGCGGTGTCCCGCGGTGTCCCGCGGTGTCCCGCCGGTGTCCCGCGGTGTCCCGCGAGGATGATGATGATGATGATGATGATGATGATGATGATGATGATGATGATGATGATGATGATGATGATGATGATGATGATGATGATGATGATGATGATGATGGATGATGATGATGATGATGATGATGATGATGATGATGAGATGATGATGATGATGGTGTCCCGATGAAGATGATGATAATGTTGATGATGGTGTCGATGATGATGATAGTGTCCCGATGATGAGGATGATTATGTTGATGATGATGACGATGATGGTGTCCCGATGATGATGATGATGATGATGATGATGATGATGATGATGATGATTCCGATGATGTTGGTAATGATGATGTTGATGGAAATGGTGTCCCGGCGATAATGATGTTGATGATGATGATGATGTTTATGATGATTATGGTGTCCTGATGATGCTGCTGATGATGATGGTGGTGATGATGATGGTGATGCTGATGGTGTCCCGATGATGATAAGAATGATAATGACGATGTTGATGATGATGTTGCTCATGACGATGATGGTGCCCCAATGATGGTGATGATGATATTGTTGATGATGATGATGTCGATGATCATGATGCGATGATCATGATGATGATGGTGCCCCGAGGATGATGACGATGTTGATGATAATTTTGATGATGAGAACGATAGTGATCATGATGGTGTCCCGGTTCTGATGATGATTCTGATGATGCTGCTGACGATGATGACGATGACTGTGTCCCGATGATGATGATGATGATGATGATGTTGATGATGAGATGATGATGGTGATGATGATGATGTTGTCCCGATGATGATGCTGACGATGATGATGATGATGATGATGATGTTTATGATGATGATGATGATGATGATGATGATGATGATGATGATGATGATGACGGTGCCCTCATGATGATGACGATGTTAGTGATGATGTTGATGTTGATGATGTTGATGATGTTGATGATGCTGATGATGTTGATGATGATGATGATGACGTTGATTGTGAGAGCGATTGTGATATCGATAGTGAGATCGATGTTGAGACCGAGTGTGAGATCGATTGTGTGATCGATTGTGAGATCGATTGTGAGATCAACTGTGAGATCGATCGAATGAGATAGATCGAGTGAGATCGATTGTGAGATCGATCGAGTGAGATCGATCGAGCGAGACCGATAGTGAGATCGATACTGAGATCGATAGTGAGACCGATCGAGTGAGACGTTGGTTTCCCCCCCCGAACCTCCTTATCACCCGAAGAGTGGTCGTATAGGTATATATATATATATAAGAAGGAAAAACAGAAGCAACAAAAAGGAGGGAACATATGACGCAGACGCAAATAGACGCCCATCTCCAGGAACATGCGGGGAGTGGAGGGGGAGACGAGCATGCAGACTGGAAAACAGATTGGGGATCTTGTGATTTCTGCTTCCCTGGGTCCCTTCTTCGCGAAGGCCTGACGACCGGCGCCGCCGATCCTGCAGGGGGACGGCAACGACGACGGCGGTGGCGGCGGCGACGGCGAGGACGCTGACGTGCGAATCAGAGGCCTCAGAGCTGCTTCTCGAGGCCTCTTTGGAGCCCTCTCGGGGGCCTCTGGGGGGCCTCCCTCCGATTCAACTACGACGTTCGAGTTCTTTGTTCCTTAGGTCAGAGTCCTCAGAGCTGCTTCTCGGGGCCTCTTCGGAGCGCTCCCGGGGGCCTCTGGGGGGCCTCCCTTCGATTTCACTACGACGTCCGATTCCTTTGTTCCTTAGCTTCCTTGGGACTGACGACGGCGACGCCGACGACGACGCCGACGACGACGCCGACGCTTACGACTAACTCGACGACGACGACGACGACGACGACGACGACGACGACGACGGCATGGTTTGTTCATATACGGTGCACCCCCGCAGGTCCCGACCAATTCCCCGGGACCGGATTTTTAATCCCGAGTGGTTTTACCTCACGGCCTTCCGGCTTGGCGAGGGCCTCGGGAGGCCAGAATGGACGATTGTGTGGCCGTTTTTTTTTTGTTTTTTTTTTTTTTGTTTTTTTTTCTTTTCTTTTCTTTCTTATATATATATAAAGAATTTTTAAGCCTAGCATCTCTTGCTGATAGGTTTCTAGTGGTCTCAAAAGGGAGCATCATGACTCCTCAGGGGGGTCTGGGCGGGACCCGGGGAGGCTGCCGCCGAAGCCGAAATCGCTTGGGACATCCTCGCAAAATCGCTCTTGGTGCTCCCAGAACTCCATTCCCGGGCCACATTTTGGATGCCCGGAGCCAACTGTAGGCCACTTCGTGCTCTTCGACTTCCCAGAACTCCATTCCCGGGCCACATTTTGGATGCCCGGAGCCAACTGTAGGCCATTTCGTGCTCTTCGATTTCCCAGAACTCCATTCCCGGGCTACATTTTGGATGCCCGGAGCCAACTGTAGGCCACTTCGTGCTCTTCAAGTTCCCAGAACTCCATTCCTGGGCATGATTTTGAATGCCCGGAGCCAACTGTAGGCCACTTCGTGTTCTTCTAGTTCCCAGAACTCCATTCCTGGGCCACATTTTGAATGCTGAGGCAGGCTGATGCTGCGGCCGAGGCAGGCTGAGGCTGAGGCAGGCTGAGGCTGAGGCCGAGGCTGAAGGCAGACTGAGGCTGAGGCTGAAGCAGACTGAGGCTGAGGCTGAGGCAGGCTGAGGCTGAGGCTGAAGCAGGCTGATGCTGATGCAGGCTGAGGCAGGCTGAGGCTGAGGCTGAGGCTGATGCAGGCTGAGGCTGAGGCAGGCTGAGGCTGAGGCCGAGGCTGAAGGCAGACTGAGGCTGAGGCTGAAGCAGGCTGACGCTGAGGCTGAGGCAGGCTGAGGCTGAGGCAGGCTGAGGCTGAGGCTGAGGCAGGCTGAGGCTGAGGCTGTGACTGCGACTGCCGTTGCCGCTGCGACTGTCATCGCGAATGCGACTACGACTGGGAGAACAGCAGAATTCTACAACTGGATTTTCATCTGAATCTTAAGGGGAATGCTTCCAGATATGCTTCTACACATCGCTGTTAGGTTGCTTTGCCGGGATTTGTTTGATTATTTATTTATATATATATATATACAGAAGCAACAAAAAGGAGGGAACATATGACGCAGACGCAAATAGACGCCCATCTCCAGGAACATGCGGGGAGTGGAGGGGGAGACGAGCATGCAGACTGGAAAACAGATTGGGGATCTTGTGATTTCTGCTTCCCTGGGTCCCTTCTTCGCGAAGGCCTGACGACCGGCGCCGCCGATCCTGCAGGGGGACGGCAACGACGACGGCGGTGGCGGCGGCGACGGCGAGGACGCTGACGTGCGAGTCAGAGGCCTCAGAGCTGCTTCTCGAGGCCTCTTTGGAGCCCTCTCGGGGGCCTCTGGGGGGCCTCCCTCCGATTCAACTACGACGTTCGAGTTCTTTGTTCCTTAGGTCAGAGTCCTCAGAGCTGCTTCTCGGGGCCTCTTCGGAGCGCTCCCGGGGGCCTCTGGGGGGCCTCCCTTCGATTTCACTACGACGTCCGATTCCTTTGTTCCTTAGCTTCCTTGGGACTGACGACGGCGACGCCGACGACGACGCCGACGACGACGCCGACGCTTACGACTAACTCGACGACGACGACGACGACGACGACGACGACGACGACGACGACGACGACGACGACGACGACGACGACGACGACGACGACGACGACGACGACGACGACGACGACGACGACGAACGACGACGACGACGACGACGACGACGACGACGACGACGACGACGACGACGACGACGACGACGACGGCGACGGCGCCGGCGACGGCGACGGCGACGGCGACGGCGACGGCGACGGCGACGACGACGGAAAAGCAGCTCACACACGCCGAAGGGTAGGCGGACTCCCCACGACGCCAGGGAGCTCTGGGCATCGGCTTGCCGGCCCGTCGCTCTGCCCCTGCCCCAGACTTTGGACGCCCGACATGGGTACGATGCCCAACAACAAATGTTGTCCCAAGCCGACGGCGGCCGCTGTTGGGCAGGCGGCCTCCAGTCTCGAATGGACACAGGCCGCGGCGGCGCGGACAGCGAGGCCTGTTCAAAATGAACAGGAACTGCTGTTTGGCATTGTACCCATTCTTTCGGTACCCATTTCGGGCGTCCAAATAGACCCCCGCCGTCTCTCGACTTTCGCACAGCGCACAGCGTCGACCCCCAGAGGTCTGGGCCCCTTCCCGGGGGCCGGTTATTCATCCCGTGTCTTCTGGGATGGGCGCGGGGGTTGCTCAGGGGATAGGGGGGTTATCAGTGGACGCCAAAGGGGTTGTAGCTGGCCTAACCTGGCTTATAAGTGGGTTGCTGATGCCCCAAGTGGCTTGGGGGGATAGCGATCCAGGCTAAGCGGTCGCCGCCCACTTAGCGGAGTTGTCCAATTCCCCTAAGCCACTTGGAGCATGTGTAACCCACTTATATAAGCTAGGTTAGGCCAGGTATACCCCTTTGGCGTCCACTGATAACCCCCCTATCCCCTTAGCAGCCCCCGCGCCCATCCCAATTGCGGGGCGCGTAATGAGAAGTTGGGGGGCAGCGAGGGCTGCAGAAAGGAAACCTTCAGGGCCCCGAAGGGGCCCCTTTGGGGCCCTGGGGCCTGAACAGGGCAGCTGGGGTCGGAGGATCGCGCCGCATCGCCGATGCATCGCCGATGCGGCTCGATGTGGAGCGCGATTGCCTCTCGTCGACGTCGCCGATGCATCGCCCACATCGACGATGCATCGCCAGTGCATCGCCGATGCGTCGCTCATGGATGGGCGATGCGGCGCGATCCTGCGACCCTACTCTGGCCCCATCCCAGACATCGGCGTCATGATTTTTTCATGACGTCCGGTCCCAGAGGTCTCGACCCCTTCCCCGGGACAGGTTTTCCACCCCGAGTCGTTTCCTGACGGCCCCGCGGCCTGGGAGAAGGGCCCCCCGAGGCCGAGAGTGGCGGACAACTTCCGTCGTATTTTTTTCTATAGCTGGTCGAGGGGCTCTGGGATTCGGGCGGCCTCTCCCAGCGCGAGGACGTTACTGTTTTGTCGGGCGTGTCCTCCTACAGTGGGATTTTCGACGAAAATATCAAACACCCCCAAAGATATTCCAAAAAGGTCAAACAATACCCCCAAAAATAGTCCCCAGACTGTTTTGGGATTCTTTTTGGATTATTGATGGGGTATTCTTTTCTGTTTCGTCGAAGATCCCCCTGTAGGGGGACAGGCCAGACTTAACGTTGCTGGGCCCCGCCCCCTCTGCGCGCCGCCGGAGAGGCGCGGCGGCCCCCGCCGCCGGCGCGGGCGTCGCGGGGGGCGCAGCGCCGGCGGCCTGCCGGGAGGTGCCCGTGCAGGTGGAGGCGGGCCCTCCCTCCGGGGCGTAGGGTTATGTCGGGCGTGCCCCCCTGCAGGGGAATTTTCGGCGAAAAATAACACATACCCTTAAAAGTACCCCAAGAAGGCCAAACACTATTCGAACAAAAAGTCCCCGGACTATTTTTGGACTACTTTTTGATTACTTTGGGGGTATTTTTTATCTTGCGTCGAAAATCCCCCTGTAGGGGGACAGGCCCGACTTAAGCGTAGGGCGAGCGAGCAGCACACCCCCAGACACGCCGGTCGTTGAAAGTAGGGATTTGTGGATTCCCAGGTCCCCAATCTACTTCAAGCGCCTTCCTACTGCAAGAATCGACTTGCTTTTGCTGTGTTCTGTTGTTCTCTGGGAGGGCCCGGACCCAATCTGCTATATCCGCCTTCCTACTTCATGTTTCTACCTACTTCTTCCGACCGACGTATACCCATAGGGAGGTCGGAGGGAGAAGGACTGGCTATCCTGGGCCTGTTTTCCACCACCACCATAGGTTTGAGGGGGGAAGGAGTTGGAGGAAGAGGAGGATGACGAAGAGGAGGAGGAGGAGGAGGAGGAGGAGGAGGAGGAGGAGGAGGAGGAGGACCCCCTTCCCCCTCCTACTCATGGTGGCGGTGGTGGAAGACAAACCCACCAGGCTATGGGTATGGGTGCGGGTTGTCGGACTCCTGGGGAGGGTCCCGTTCGAGCGGGGGCCCCCATCCAACAGCACGCAACCATAGCTCGTTCCGTCCCTCTTGTGGGTATGGGTGCGTGCTGATTGTTCGTCAGCTTTAGGTCGGGCATGTCCTCCTACAGGCGGATACAGTGGAGACCCATGCCAAGAAGCACCCTGCTTGCCTGCAGGGTGCCCTGGGTATCTGGGGTTTCGATGGTTTTGCGATGGACGGCGTGACGCTCCCACGCCAAGAATCAATGGACGTCCTGGGGTCTCAGGGTTGGGCTTCTTGTGGAAGGGTTCTTGTGGTCGGGCCTCCACTGTAGTCCAGAATAGTCGAAGCATCGTCTCCAGCCTTTTTTGTTTGACTCTTTGTTAGATGTCTCCTGTAGAGGGACCTGCCCGACTGAATCCGAGACTCGCCCAGAGGTCGGAGATGTGATGTTTCTATTCCGGCGGATTTCCTCCGCCACGAAGAAATATTCTAGGCGTCCTAGATGGGGTCGGAGTAGACGGGGTCGGAAGATCGCGCCGCATCGCCGATGCATCGCCGATTCGGCTCGATGTGGAGCCCGATTTGCCTCTCGTCGACGTCGCCGATGCATCGCCCACGTTGACGATACATCGCCGGTGCATCGACGAAGCATCGCCGATGCATCGCCGATGTATCAGTGATGCGGCGCGATCCCCCCCGACCGCATCTACTCCGACCATCTAGGAGGCCTCTGTACACAGACACCCTCGCATGGACTGTTCCTGGGCCTCGGGGGAGGGTGGCGGTGTATGGATCACCACTGGGAGCGGGCGGCTTTGGACACCGCCGCCCTCCCTGAAGGTACATGCAAAGTTCGTCGGCGGGTACCCGTGTGTATGTATGTATGTATGTACGTATGTATGTGTGTATGTATGTATGTATGTATGTATGTATGTATGTATGTATGTATGTATGTATGCATGCATGCATCTATGTATGTATGTAATGCAATGTATGTATGTATGTATGTATGTATACATGTATGCATGTATGTATGTATGTATGCATGTATATATGTAGTTATGTATGCATGTATGTATGTATGCATGCATATATATATATATATATGTATGTATGTATGTAATGTATGTATGCGTGTATGTATGTATGTATGTATGTATGTATGTATGTATGCATGCATGCATGCATGCATGCATGCATGCATGCATGTATGTATGTATGCATGTATATATGTATTTATGTATGTATGTATGTATGCATGTATGTATGTATGTATGCATGTATGTATGTATGTATGTATGTATGTATATGTATATATGCATGTATATATGTATGTATGTATTTATGTATGTATGTATGCATGCATGCATGTATGTATGTATAACGGTATGTATGTATGCATGTATAAATGTATTTATGTATGCATGTATGTAGGTATGTATGTATGTATGCATACATGTATTTATGTATGTATGTATGCATGCATGTATGTAATGTATGTATGTATGTATGTATGTATGTATGTATGTATGTGCGTATATATGTATTTATGTATGCATGCATGTATGTATAGATGTATGCATGTATGTATGTATGTATGTATGCATGCATGGATATATGTAGTTATGTATACGTGTATACATATATATATATATAATATATATATATATCTGTGCGTGTATATATGTATGTATGTATACATGTATGTATATGTATATATATATGTATATATATATATTATATATATATATATATATCTGTGCGTATATATATATATATATATATATATCTGTGCGTGGTGCATTTCCCATGGATTTCGGCCTCTGGGGCCCGCTCTCGGGCCCAGGGACCCTCAAACCGACGCCTTTTCCTCCTCGATATCTTTGCGTGGCCTCGGGCCCAGGGACCCTCGAACCGACTCCCCGGCCTCCTCCTCCTCCTCCTCCTCCTCCTCCTCAATCCGATTCCTCCTCCTCCTCCTCCTCAATTCAAGTCCTCTTCCTCCTCCTCCTCCTCAATCCGATTTCCTCCTCCCCTCCTCCTCTCCTCCTCCTCCTCCCTCCTCCTCCTCTCCGATTCTCCTCCTCCTCCTCCTCAATCCGATTCCTCCTCCTCCTCCTCCTCCTCTCAATCCTCCTCCTCTCCTCCTCCTCCTCCTCCTCAATCCGGTTCCTCCTCCTCCTCCTCCTCAATCCGCTTCCTCCTCCTCCTCCTCCTCAATCTTCCTCCTCCTCCGCGTCGCCCCCCGGGGGGCGGCGCGCGAGACGGCGCGAAGGCAGCCGCGCCGCTCGCGCCCCGCGCGCTCCGCGGGCACCGCGACGCGCGAGGCGCTCGCACCGCCAGGCGCCCTCTCGCCCGGCGTCGGGCCCCGGGGAACCTCTCACGGCTCGAGCGGGCGTCGAAGGGCGACGCAGGAAGAGGGGGCCTCCGGGCGGCGTCACCCCAACGTACTCATACTCATACTATATATGATATATGTATATATTTTTATGTGCATATAAATATTTATTTATCAACACATGCATATTTATATGTGTATACACTATACTATACTATATATTCATACTCATACTCATACTCATTCTCATACACACTATATATACATATATATATATATATATATATACCGCATAGACCACCCTGCGGGTGATAAGGAGGTGAGGGGGGGGGAGGGGCCAACGTCGCACTCGATTGATCTCACTATCGGACTCACTACCGATCTCACAATCGATCTCAATCGATAGAGCTCACAATCGATCTCACTATCGATCTCACAATCAATCTCACAATCGATCCCACAATCGATCTCACATTCGGTCTCGCTATTGATCTCACAATCGATATCACAATCGATCTCGCATTCGATCTGACTATCGATCTCACTATCAAACTCACTATCGATCTCACTATCGATCTCACATTCGGTCTCACTATCGATCTCACTATCGATATCACAATCGATCTCACAATCGATCTCGCATTCGGCCTCACTACCGATCTCTCTATCGAACTCACTTTCGATCTCATTATCGATCTCACTATCGATCTCACTATCGATCTCATAACCGAACTCACAATCGATCTCACATTCGGTCTCATCATCGATCTCACTATCGACATCACTACCGATCTCATTACCGATAGTGATATCACTACTAACTCAATCGATCGATCTCACAATCGATCTGACTATTGATATCACAATAGATTCCACAATCGATCTCACATTCGGTCCCACTATCGATCTCACTGTCGATATCACAATCGATCTCACAATCGATATCCCATTAGGTCTCACAATCGATCTCACTATCGATCTCATTATCGATCTCACATTCGGTATCACAATCGATCTCACAATCGATCTCACAAGCGATCTGACATTCGATCTCACGTTCGATCTCACAATCGATATCACTACCGATCTCACTATCGATCATCAAAACAAAACATCAACATCGTCATCATCATCACCATCATCATCATCATCATCATCATCATCATCATCATCATCAATCTCATCACCATAATCGGGACACCGACGGGGCACCGGCGGGACACCGCGGGCCCCCAGTTGCCCGGAAGGCGGTCATTTGGTCCGGCCGCGCCTCAGCCACAGACACCGACGGGACACCGACGGGACACCGGCGGGACACCGCGGGCCCCCGGCCGCCCGGAAGGGAATCATTTGGTCCGGCCGCGCCTCAGCCACACGGGACACCAGCGGGACACCGGCGGGACACCGCGGGGCCCCGGCCGCCCGGAAGGGAATCATTTGGTCCGGCCGCGCCTCAGCCACAGGAGACTTTCTCTCGCCCGCCCACGCAGCTTCGCCTCGCCCGCACGGCACGCACGAACACGAAACCGAAATCGATTTCCCGGTAAGGGGGCTCTCCGTTCCACTTCGATCTCACCCCCCTCACCTCCGATACATATATATATATATATATATATATATATATATATATATATGTGCGTCGCCCCCTTCGGGGCCGATGCGCGCACCGAGAAGTCTTCTAGTGCATGCCTCGTGGCGGGCGCTCCCCAGCCGCACCGCTCGGGACACGATGCACTACAGGATGGGTATACCGTACACTATACGTTTGGGTCGGACGCGCGCCTTCAAGGATAACATCTAGTACTAGTATTAGTATGTCTTTGTGCGTCCCATCTGGGGCTCTGGTCTTGATTTTTGTGATGTTGCACTTTTTGGTGCAGCGTCAGATCCCAAGGCTCGCCGATCAACCGTTGAGGCAACTCGATGGGCGGCGGGTTGGGGTTCGGAATTCGTCGAGCACGTGGCGAAACCCGATCCCCACAGTCAACCCGCATGCTAAGGATGGGCAACCTTCCCAAGGGTACCCTTGCATCCTTGCCTCCTCGGTCCATCCTTCGCCACTTTCGTTGGCCGCGCCCCGCTCGACAAGCTTCGAAATGGGCGTCCAAGGCCCTTGCATCCATATCGTTAGGTCGGGCGTGTCCGTCCACAGGGGGAGTATTCACAAATAGTCCACATAATACGAGGGGGACGAGTTTTTGAGTGTGCGAGGATATTTTGCTGCGCATTGTTCGACTGCTCTTTTCATCGTCTGCCCAAACAAGCTGTTTGTAGGAGGGCACGCCCGACCTCACCCTGTCGCGCACCCTTGCTATACAGTGGAGACCCATGCCAAGAACCACCCTGCTTGCCTCCAGAGTTTCGATGGCCTTGCCATGGAAAGCGTGACTGTACCGCACCAACAATCCATGGACCTCCTGGGGTCTCAGGGTTGGCTTCCCTGTGGAAGGTCTCTTGTGGTTGAGCTCCTGCTGTGCGGGTTGACTGCGCCCCGCCTGCCGTCGCTTCGGGCGACTCGAGGGTTGGCGGGGGGTGGGCGGAGGGGGCGGAGGGGGCGGAGGAGGAGGAGGAGGAGGAGGAGGAGGAGGAGGAGGAGGAGGAGGAGGAGGAGGAGGACCATCAAGGCTAATGAGGAAGGCTAAGGTTAGGCCGACCCGACCCTAACCGAAACCTAAAGGTGGAGGAGGAGGAGGAGGAGAGGAGGAGGAGGAGGAGGAGGAGGAGGAGGAGGAGGAGGAGGAGGAGGAGGAGGAGGAGGAGGAGGAGGAGGAGGGGAGGAGGCCGCCGCCCTGCAGGGCAAGGGGGGGGGGGGAGGGGGGGAAGCGCGCTCCAAGGCGGGGCGGCGCGAGGGGGGCTGCCTTAGGGTTAAGTCGGGTCTGCCCCCCTACAGGGGGATTTTCTACGAAAAGTTAAAAATACACGAAAAATAGTCAAATAATAGTCCAAAAATAGTCAGGGGACTATGTTTTGGGTATTTTTGAACCTTTTTGGAGTATTGTTTGGGGTATTTTTATTTTTTCGTCGAAAATCCCCCTGTAGGCGGACAGGCCCGACTTAACCTTAGGGGAACCAGAAGTGACATAAACACAAAAACTCGGAGGTCCGCGCGGACTTCTCGGATCGGCGCTGGACCCCCCTCCCTGCCGCGCGGAGCGCGCCAGGGGCGGCGCCAGAGGCGCCGCGAAGGGGGCCCCCAGCGCCGATCCGAGAAATCCGCGCGGGCCTCCGAGCTTTTATGTTTATGTCCCCTTAAGGCCTGCCAGGTGCACGGGGGGGCTTCTTCCTAGAACCCCCCCTCGCGTCGTGAGGGAGCACGGCGGGCAGTGTGCAGTCGGGCGTGTTCCCTGAGGAAGATTCAAGAACAGGCGAAGCCAAAATAGGGGGGACGATGTTTCAGAACATTCTTGAAGATGTTGTGCGCATTTTTTGAATACGTGTTTTTTTTTTTGTTCTCCAAGCTCCCCCTGCAAGAGGACATGCCCGACCTAAGGGTCGTGTTTCGCTGCGTTTGGCCCCGGGGCGCCCTCGCTGGGCCCGGGACCGTCAAAAGCGCTTCTCCGGGCGCAGCACAAAAAGAGCCCCGACCGGAGCCCAGCGGATTTTTTTCGGAGGGCCCCCTCGGGGAAGCCCCCGCCGACCTCGACACGGAGACTCTGGTTGTGGCTGTTCGGATGCAGTTCCTGGGATGTCAAACTCTGATTTTGTCGAAGAGGGGAAGGAGAAGGAGGAGGAAGGAGAGGAGGAGGAGAAGGATGGGGAGGAGGCAAGGCCAGCTCGGCAGATCAGCACGGCAGACCAGCGCGGCACGCCAGCGCGGAGTTCATTGGCGTGCTCAGCCAGACGTTTTCTGACAAGCTTTGTGGACAAAGCAGCGCTTCCCGTTCTTGTCCGGTCATGTTCCCCCTAACAGGGCCGTTTCGCTCGAGACATCCTCGAACAGTTGAGATGTTGAAGCTATGTGGGTAAGACGATTTGTGTTAAGCATGAGACTCACGCTCGGGACATCCTCGGGAAATGAGCTACCGAGCTCGCTCACGAAATTCGGCGAGTCGTTGGAACATGCCGTTTCGTTCAGGATATCCTCGAAACATTCAGATGTTGAAGCTGTGTGGTTAAGACGAATGTTCAACATCAGTCTCTCGCTCGAGACATTCTCAGAAACGGCACTCGCAGCATATTAGTTGGAGGTCCTGTCTCCTCCGTCTCCTCCGTCTCTCAGGTCTGCCGTCTCTGAGGTCTCCGTCTCCTCCGTCTCTGAAGTCTTCTCCGTCTCGAAGGTCTCCTCCGTCTCTCCTCCGTCTCCTCCGTCTCGTCCGTCATCCTCTTCCTTCTCCTTTTCCCCCTCCTCCTCCTCCTCCTCCTCCTCCTCCTCCTCCTCCTCCTCCTCCTCATCTCTTCTCTGTCTCTGAGGTCTCATCCGTCTTCTCCGTCTTTGAGGGCTCCTCCGTCTCTGAGGTCTCCTCTGACTTCTCCGTCTTTGAGGTCTCCTCCGTCCCTGAGGCTTCCTCCGTCTCGGAGATCTCCTCCATCTTTGAGAGGTTTTTGAGGTCTCTTCTGTCTCTGAGGTCTCCTCCGTCTTTGAGTTCTCTTCCGACCCTGAGGTCTCCTCCATCTCCTCCGTCTCCGTCTCCTCCTCCCCCCTCTTCCTCCTCCTCCTCCTCCTGCTACCTCTCCGCCCCCTCCTCTTCTCTGAGGTCTCCTCTGTCTTCTCCGTCTCTGAGGTCTCCTCCGTCTCTGAGGTCTCCTCCGTCTGCTCTGTCTCTGAGATCGCTTGTATCTCTGAGGTCTCCTCCGTCTTTGAGGTCTCCTCCGTCTCTGAAAAGGTCCTCCAACACAGCGAGTTCACCCGATACATCTTCACAACAGTGCGAATGTCGCGACATCGCGTTCACCAAAGACAAGCGTTTCGCTTGAGACACCCTCGAACAACTCAGACCCACGACATTCATTAATCAGTAAAAAGTTGCGTTTCGCTTGAGGCATCCTAGCCAAAATGGGGTGTCGACGGAGGTGTACTACATTACGTCTTCTGGTGCCATCTATGTTTCGTTAGGTACGTCCTCAGAATATGAGCGGCAGCACGACGGATCTGAAAACACGAGCACGGCAGAACATGTGCATGTCGCTGGGGACATCCTCGAAACTATGGGATGTTCTCAACGTTTGCTCGACATCGTTCTCGAAGTGTTTCGGGATGACGGAATGAGAGTCCAACAAGGACCTCAATATGGCTCCACGAGCGCCCGGATGATTGCCGAACATGGCGGTTTCGTTCGGGACATCGTTTTGAAACCTTGCTGTTCCAACATCGTTTTGGAACCGCTCTTGCAAAGGCTTTCAGACGGCCCAGGCCTGGCTTCTAAAACTGACGCTTTAGCTAGGGACATCCTCAACCAAGGGATTTGTGTGGCATCGCATCGACATCGTTTTTGATGGCATCCAGACTGCCCCAAACGAGTCCTACCCAAAAGTGTCGCCGAGATCCGCCAAACTGCGCATTTCGCTCGATGCATCCTAACACATGCGTTGTTCGCAACACCATCTTTCACACCAACAAGCATTTCGCCTGGGACATCCTCCAGAACATGAAAACCGCGAGTTTAACAAACGTGTGGACATGGGTATACCGCCTGAGACATCCTCGAACGACTCAGATGTTGAAAAGGCTGAATGAAGACCATGTGTGTCAACACTGAGCTTTTCGCCTGGGGCATTTTCAGGAACTGGACAAGATCACGGCAGCACAACACGCAGAAACACTACATAACGCGAGGTAGCGTGGCAAAACACACAAGAGCACGGCAGAACACGCATGAGCATGGCAGAACTCAACGATCACTCCGTAACCATTTTGGCTCAAGGCCATGGGGAACCCGACGACCGCGAGTCGTTCGCGGCGCTCTGGGCGCGAGGGTCTCCGCGCTTTGGGCCAGTGCACTTCGAGTTTGTGTTTCCTGCTTTCGCGGCGCGAAAGTGCGGCCCCGCGGCCAGCTCTGCAGTGGCCATGGCGGGGTCTCCGTGCGGCGGCGGCAGCAGCAGGCGCGGCAAGTCCTACTGGATGTGCAGCTGCGGAGGATGGAACTGGGACTGGCGCGCCTCGTGCCTTGGCTGTGGGTATGCGGCTCCGCCCTGGGCGTTGGGAAGGTCACCCGCCAAGGCGATGCCCAAGGCAGACAAGGACGGATGGGTGGATCAGCCACGGGGGCGCCGTGCCCAGAAGCAGGCCCGCAGTGCGGCCTCGCGCGGAGCATCCGCCAAGTCGCAGACCTCGGCGTCGGCAGCGAGTGGGGCGCCCAGCGGTGGAGGCGCCACGGCGATCGAGAGGCTCCAGGCGGCCGTCGAGCAGCTCGAGGCGCTGCGCGCCGAGCCGCCTGACGGCGTGGACGGCTGCTTCACCGACGTCGTGGCCAGCCAGCTGGAGGCGAAGCGCGCCGAGCTGGTCAGGGCCCAGGAGGCGGCAGCAGAGCAAAAGGCCTCGTCCCTGCCACGGGCAGCGCAGCTCCACAGGGAGGCGAACGCCATCAGCAAGGGTGAGAAGCGGCTCCGCGCAGCCCGCCAGGAGCTCGAGCAGAAGCAGGCGGCGCGTAGCCTCGTCGAGGCCCAGCTCCAGAAGGCCCAGGAGGAGCTCGCGGAGCTCGACGCGGAGGTTGAGGAGGCGAGCCGTGCGCTCCAGGTGCTCGAGGAGGCGGCCCGCGAAGAGGCCGAGGCGCTGCGCCGCCAGCGTGCTGCCGAGTGGGCAGGAGCCAGCCAGGTGCCGGGGCTCCTCATGCAGCTGGAGAAGTTGCCCGAGGCCTGGGGCTCCAGCAACTTCGAGGTGGCCTGGGCAGCCATCCGCGCCCATGTGGAGGCAGTGCGGGCGCAGCTCGAGGGAGCCCCTGTGGCCCCCAAGCGTGCGCCGTGGGCTGAGTCCTGCCCCATGGACGAGATCAGCAGCGACGATGGCGATCTCGCAGGTAGCGGCAGCTCCTGGCAGCCACAGCCAGCAGCTGAGCGAGGCCAAGCCGAGCGGTGTGGCAGGGCGCATGGCGAGTGGCCGACGGTGGCCCAGGCATACAAGCGGGAGCTGGCTGCAGTGGCAGCGGACCTGGCTCCTCTGGCTGCTCGTCATGCTGGCCGCGCCACTGGGGGCCGCGTCGGAGGAGCGCAGCCAGGGCCAACGAGCGCCTAGTCAGACCAGGGCAGCGGGCCTGCACCAGCAAGTGTGCGGCCACGTCGAGGGCGCCCTGGTGGAGTCCCACGGCATCGACGTCAGCGACCCGCCCAGGTACTTCGGGCACGCCGCAGGGCCCAGCATTGTCCTCATGCCCCAGGGCGCGGAGGAGTACGAGGTCGGGGCCCACGTGTTCGGCACTAGCGAGTGGAGCGAACCCATTGGCCAATCAGGCGAACCTGGGCATCCCGAGGCAATGGCAATGGGAGCGGACCTGCATCAGCCAGCCGAGCTGCCACTCGGGGTAAGCGCTCGGGGGCTGGAGGCGGCAGCAGCCAGGCACGCCAGGGCCACCGCGGCGGTGCGCTGCGCCTCGCCCGCCGACGCGGTGGTGCGGTCCCTGGAGCGGTTCGGCTGGCACTCCCAGTCGGAGCGGAGCATGGTCGTGGACCTCGGCGACGCGTTCGATCCCATGTCCCTCGGGCCGCAGGCGATGAGCTGTGCGGCAAGCTCGGTTGCTCTGCAGGCCCCCGACCGCCACGAGAGGCAGAAGCTCAGCTGCGACCACCTCTTGCTGCGGCTGTTGTTCGGGGACGCCATCGGACAACTGCTCGAGCCAGGAGTCGAGCTGTGCGTGAAGGGGCAGCACGCGCGAGGGGCCTACATCTCCAACGCACACTGGACGATGAGGGTCTGGAGGCTTCGGCCGCCAGGCGATGGCAGGCTCAACGGCAAGCTGTACCTCGACGGCTCGGCCAAGAGAAGCGAAGGGCTCCCTCCTGCTGGCGAGCGCCGCCAGGTGCTGGCCGCTGCAGCTGCGGAGCCTCCCCTGGCTGGAGAGGCCCTCGGCGGCGGCGCTCCTGCCAGGCGGCCGCGCCTCGAGAGCAGCAGCTCGACGGGGGGCAGTGCGGCAACCCTCTCGGCTACCGCTGTCGCCTTCAGCATCCTGGGGCACGTGCTCAGCTACGCCTGCGCGGGCGCAGGCGAGGGCACCCCGGAGATCGTGGCCTGCTCCAAGTGCGGCGCCTACAAGGTACTGAGCAGCCGCGCGGGAGGCAAGCCTCGCCTGAAGGTGCAGTGCCCAGGGCCCAGCTACCGGACAAACAAGTCAGGCAGGAATCAGCGCAGCCTGTGGGAGCGAGGGCTTCATCCTGGAGGCAGGCCGCGAGCGGACAAGCAGAGAGTGAAGGGAGAGGGCATCCCTACCTTGCGCTCGCAAGGGCCAGTGTCAGGGCACGCCCAGGAGCGCTACCTGGAATGGCTCGGCACGGAAGCGGAGCCTGCAGGCGATGCCTCAGCTGCGGCCAGCAGCTCTGGCAGCGGCCCAGCGGCCCCTGCGGCGGCGCTGGCGGAGGAGGCTGCGGCGGCCAGCTTGCCCCAGCGGCGCCCAGGCCCGACGAGCGCTGGGCCCCTCGACGCGAACGAAGCCTCCGAGGATGCGAACGCTGCCGCGGGCGCAGCGGCGAGCGACGGCCAGATGAGCCGCAGGGTCCGCCGCCGTCTGGAGCACCGCGGATTGGAGTCTGAGAGTGTGTGAAGGCTTCCCTGCCTTCCGCCGGCCCCTTTTGCTCCCTTGTGAGTAGGCTCGCGTGTCTGGCTTTGCTTGGGACTCGGCGTCTCTCGGGAACTTTGGTCCCGCCTGGCCCTGTCCCCGTTTTCCTCCCCTTCCCAGTTCCTTGAAGGCCCCGTCTTTAACTTTTAACCCAACGATCACACAGGAGCACGGCAGATCAAACAGGAGCACGAGGAGCACGGCAGAACCGCGGCTTTCCGAGCGCGAGGGGCTCCTCGCTTTGGGCCAGTGCACTCCGTTGTTCTGATCCTGGCTTTCACAGCGCGGAGGCGCGACCTGTCGGCCCGCGCGCCTGGGGCCATGGCGCGCTCCTCGCGTGGCGGCAGCAGTGGCAAGCGCAGCAGGCCGTTCTGGATGTGCAGCTGCGGAGGCTGGAACTGGGACTGGCGATCCTCTTGCCTCAGCAGCGGGTATGCAGCGCCGCCCCGGGCTCTGGGGTCGGCCCCCGCCGCGGCGAAGCCCAAGGCCGACGAGGGCGGATGGGTGGACCAGCCGAGGGGGCGCAAAGCCCAGCGGCAGGCCCCTTGCCTCGCGAGCGGCATCCGCCAAGTCGCAGACCTCGGCTTCTGCGGCCAGTGGGGCGCCGAGCGGCGGCGGAGTTGCGGCTATCGAGAGGCGGCAGGCGACGGTGGAGCAGCTGGAGGCGCTGCAGGCTGGGCCGTCCGAGGGCGTGGACGGCAGCTTCACCGGCGTCGTGGCCAGCCAGCTGGAGTCGAAGCGGGCAGAGCTGGCCAGGGCCCAGCAGGCAGCAGCGGAGCAGAAGGCCGCCACCACGCCGCGGTCGACGCTGCTGCACAAGGAGGCCAACGCCATCAGCAAGGCGGAGAAGCGGCTCCGCGCAGCCCGCCAGGACCTGGAGCAGAAGCAGGTGGCGCGCGACCTCGCGGAGGCCCAGCTCCAGAAGGCCCAGGAGGAGCTCGCTGAGCGGGGCGGCGCGCTGGAGGAGGCCAGCAGGGCGCTCCAGGTCCTCGAGGAAGCCGCCCGCGAGGAGGCGGAGGCGCGGCGGCGCCAGCGGGCCGCTGAGTGGGCAGGAGCCAGCCAGGTGCCGGGGCTCCTCACGCAGCTGGACACGCTGCCAGAGGCCTGGGCCTCCAGCATCTTCGAGGTCGCATGGGCAGCCATCCGCGCCCAGATGGAGGCGGTGCGAGCGCAGCTCGCTGGGCCCCCCCTGGCCCCCAAGCGTGCGCCGTGGGCAGAGTCCTGCCCCATGGACGAGATCAGCAGCGACGACGGCAACCTCGCAGGCAGTAGCAGCCCCCGGCAGTTTCAGGCCGCAGCGGAGCGCGGCCAAGCTGAGCGGTATGGCAACGCGCTTGGCGGGTGGCCGCAGGTGGCGCAGGCCTGCAAGCGGGAGCTGGCAGCCGAGGCTGCGGACCTGGCCCCTTTGGCTGCTCGTCCTGCTGGCCACGCAGCTGGGGGCAGGGGCGGAGGAGCCTCGCCAGGGCAGGAGAGTGCCTAGCGAGGCCAGCGCTGCGGGGCCACGCCAGCTTGGCGGCAGCAGCGCCGAGGTGGCCCGCCTAGGCAGCAAGCGGCCCAACGCCCTCGGGGAAGCGCCCGCCCCACCGGCACCAGGGCGGACATCGGCGGCGGCGCGGGGCGCCAGAGGAGGGCTGGAGGCGCTCGAGGCCCCGCCCACAGGGGTGACGGGACGACCCTTGGGGCGGATCGTCTGGCACTTCAAGTCGGAGCAGTACTGGGTCGCGGAGCACGGCGACGAGTTCGATCCCATGGCCCTCGAGCCTCGGGCGCAGGACCTGGGGGTGGGCCTGGCTGCTCGGCAGGCATGGGACCTGGACCTCCACCGACACTCGGCCCTCACCCACGCCATGCGCCAGGCCCTCGATGTAGCGCTGCAGAGGCTCACAGCTGACAGGACGCGGTGCTGGCAGCCCTCGCACGAGGCTTGGTCTGTTCGGCAGGTGGCGCTTATCCTGGCCGATGTGGAGGCAGCCACCGCAGCGGCCTGTGAGGAGGACGAGGTCGGGGCCCTCGAGTTCGGCACTAGCGAGTGGAGCGACCCCATTGGCCAAGCAGGCGTACTTGGGCATCCCGAGGCGACGGCAGTGATGGCGGACCTGCTGCAGTCAGCCGAGCTGCCGCTCAGGATGTGTGCTGGAGGGCTGGAGGCTGCAGCAGCTAGGCGCGCTAGTGCCGCCACAGGGGGCGCTGTGCCTCGCCCGCCGACGCGGCGGTGCGGACCCTGGTGCGGTTCGGCTGGTACCTCGAGTTGGAGCGGTGCAAGGTCGTGGACCTCGGTGACGAGTTCGATCCCATGTTCCTCGGGCCTCGGGCGCTGAGCATGGAGGATGGGTCTGATGCTCGGCAGGCCACCAACCGCCATGAGAGGCGGAAGCTCAGCAGCGACCCCCCTCTTGCTTCGGCCGTTGTTCGGGAGCGCCATCGGGCAGCTGCTCGGGCCAGGTACATATCGAGCTGTGCGGGAGGGAGCAGCACGTGCGTGGTGCCCACTTCTCCAAAACGCATTGGACGATGCGTATCTGCAGGATTCGCAAGCCAGTTGACGGCAGGCTCAACGGCAAGCTGTACCTCGATGGCTCGGCTAAGGATAGCGAAGGGCCCCCTCCTGCAGGCGAGCAACGCCAGGCGCAGGCCGCTACGGCCGAGGAGCCTCCGTTGGCTGGAGCGGCCCTCGGCGTCGGCGCTCCCGCCAAGCGGCCACGCCTGCAGAGAAGCCGCTCGACGGGGAGCAGCACGACCGCCATCTCGGCCACTGCTGTTGCCTTCAGCATCCTGGGGCACGCGCTCTGCCACGCCTGCGCGGGCGAAGGCGAGGGCGCCCAGGAGATCGTGGCCTGCTCCAGGTGCGGGGCCTACAAGGTGCCGTGCAGCCACGCAGGGGCCAAGCCTCGCCTGAAGGAACGGTGCCCAGGCGATAAGACCAGCAAATCAGGCAGGAACCGGCGCAGCCTGTGGGAGCGAGGGCTCCATCCTGGAGACAGGCCACGAGCGGATAAGCAGAGAGCGAAGGGAGAGGGCATCCCCGCTCTGCGTTCGCAAGGGCCAGTGCCAGGACACGCCCAGGAGCGCTGTCTGGAGTGGCTCGGCATCGAAGCGGAGTCTGCAGGTGGTGCCTCGGCCGCAGCCAGCAGCTCAGGCGGCGGCCCAGCTGCTCCCGCGGCAGTGCAGGCCGCGGAGGTGGCGGCTGCCAGCCTGCCCTTGCAGCAGCCAGCCTCGACGAGAGCTGAGCTCCTCGGCGTGCGCGGGACTGCCGAGGAGGGGTTCGCCGCCGCGAACAGCACGGCGATCGGCGGCCAGGTGAGCCGCAGGGTCCGCCGCCGTCTGGTGCGCCGCGGCCCGCCGTCTGAGAGTGAGTGAAGAATAAGCATCGTTCTGCTCACGAGTGTTGCTGCCTGTGGCGAGTAGGCACGCGTGGCCCGCTTTGCTTTGGGACTCGGCTTCTTTCGGGAACTGTGGTCCCGTCTGGCCCTGTCCGCGTTCTGTTTGTTTTCCCCCTGCGCCTTGAAGGCCCCGTCTTTAACTTTAACTTTACCACGCGCACGCAACGCGCAGGAGCACGGCAGAACACACAGGAGCCCCGCAGGACACCGAAGCAAGAGGAGTACGGCAGAGCACCGCAGAACAAGCAGGAGCGTGGCAGAACACGCAGGAGCGTGGCATAACACAGGAGCACGGCAGAACCCACAGCACCACACATAGGACCACGGCCGAACGCGCGGGAGCGCGGCAGAACATTTAGGAGCATAGAATCACGGTAGAACACACAGGTGCACGGCATAAGTGACAGCGGACTACGCAGGAGCCAGGAGCACGGCAGAAAACGCACAATCACGAGGAGCACGGCAGAGCACACAGAGTACATAGGAGCACGGCCGAAAACACAGAAGCATGGCAGAGCACACAGGGGCGCGGCAGATCACACAAAGCACGTAGCAGCACGGCGGTCTAACAAACAGCAGCACGGCAAACAACGCAGGAGCACGGCAAACCACGGCAGAACACGCAGGAGCACGGCAGAACTTACAGCACATCCGTAGCCATTTGGGCTCAAGACCATGGAGAACCCGACGACCGCGAGTCGTTCGCGGCGCTCTGAGCGCGAGGGTCTCCGCGCTTTGGGCCAGTGCAATTCGAGTTTGTGCTCCCTGCTCTCACGGCGCGGAGGCGCAGCCCCTCGGCCAGCGCGGCAGTGGCCATGGCGAGGTCCCCGCGCGGCGGTGGCAGCAGCAGGCGCAGCAAGTCCTACTGGATGTGCAGCTGCGGCGGGTGGAACTGGGATTGGCGCACCTCTTGCCTGGGCTGCGGGCATGCGGCCCCGCCATGGGCGATGGGGGCGCCCCCGCCCAAGGCGAGGCCCAAGGCAGACAAGGGCGGCTGGGTGGATCAGCCACGTGGGCGCCGTGCCCAGAGGCAGGCCCGCGGCGCGGCCTCGCGGGCAGCATCCACCAAGTCGCAGACCTCGGCGCCGGCAGCAAGTAGGGCGCCCAGCGGTGGAGGCGCCGCGGCGATCGAGAGGCTCCAGGCGGCAGTCGAGCAGCTCGAGGCGCTGCAGGCCGAGCCCCCTGACGGAGTGGACGGCTGCTTCACCGACGTCGTGGCCAGCCTGGAGGCGAAGCGTGCCGAGCTGGTCAAGGCCCAAAAGGCAGCAGCGGAGCAGAAGGCCTCGTCCCTGCCACGGGCGACGCGGCTCCACAGGGAGGCGAACGCCATCAGCAAGGGCGAGAAGCGGCTCCGGGCAGCCCGCCTGGAGCTCGAGCAGAAGCAGGAGGCGCGCGACCTCGTCGAGGCCCAGCTCCAGAAGGCCCAGGAGAAGCTCGCGGAGCTCGACGAGGAGGTGGAGGAGGCGAGCCTGGCGCTCCAGGTGCTCGAGGAGGCAGCCCGTGAGGAGGCCGAGGCGCTGCGCCGCCAGCGTGCTGCCGAGTGGGCAGGAGCCAGCCAGGTGCCGGGGCTCCTCATGCAGCTGGAGAAGTTGCCCGAGGCCTGGGGCTCCAGCAACTTCGAGGTGGCCTGGGCAGCCATCCGCGCCCATGTGGAGGCAGTGCGGGCGCAGCTCGAGGGAGCCCCTGTGGCCCCCAAGCGTGCGCCGTGGGCTGAGTCCTGCCCCATGGAGGAGATCAGCAGCGACGATGACGATCTCGCGGACGGCGGCGGCGCCTGGCAGCTCCAGCCAGCAGCGGAGCGAGGCCAAGCCGAGCGGTGCGGCAAGGCGCTGGGCGAGTGGCCAACGGTGGCCCAGGCATGCAAGCGGGAATTGGCGGCAGAGGCAGCGGACTTGGCTCCCCTGGCTGCTCATCCTGCTGGCAGGTCCGCTGGGGGCCGCGTCGGAGGGGCGCAGCCAGGGCCAGCGAGTGCCTAGCGAGGCCTGTGCGGCGGGCCTGCGCCTGCACGAGAGCGGCACCGAGGTCGCCCTGGGGCCAGGGGCGCGCTGCAGGGCCCAGCTGTGTCCACATCCTCCTGGACGCTGGGGAGAACGTAGTTGGGGCCATCGAGTTCGGCACTAGCGAGTGGAGCGACCCCGTGGGCAGAGCAGGCGTACCTGGGCCTCCGGAGACGATGGCCAGGAGTGCGGATCCGCAGCTGCCTACCGAGCAGCCGCTCAGGGCGCGAGCTCAGGGACGGAAGGAGACGGCAGCCGGGGGCGGTACAGCCGCCACAGGCGTGAGCCGTGCCTCGCCCGTCTGCGCGGTGGTGCGGACCCAGTGGATCGGCGACTTGCACCTCGAGTCGGAGTGGTGCATGGTCATGGACCTCGGTGACGCGTTCGACCCCATGTTCCTCGAGCCGCGGGCGATGTGCTCGGGAGCAAGCACGTGTGCTCAGCAGGCCTGCTACCGCCATGAGAGGCGGGACCCCGCCTGCAGGCCCCTCTCGCTTCGGCAGTCGTTCGGGGACGCCTTCGGGCTGCGGTTCAGGCCAGGAGTCAAGTGGTACGTGAAGGAGCGGCGAGCACGAGGAGGTGGTGTTGGCGAACTCGGCGGCGAGCAGTACGTCAAAGGCTCGGCCTCGAGCAGCGGAGGGCTCCCTCCTGCTGGCGGGATCGGCCAGGTGCGGTCCGCGGCGGCATCGGAGCCCCTGCAGGCTGGGGAGGCCTTCGGCGGCGGCGCTCCAGCCATGCGGCCCCGCCTGGGGGACAGCCGCTCGACGGGGAGCAGCGCGGCCGCCCTCTCGGCCACCGCTGTCGCCTTCAGCGTCCTGGGGCACGCGTTCAGCTATGCCTGCGCGGGCGAAGGCGAGGACACCCAGGAGGTCGTGGCGTGCACCAAGTGTGGCGCCTACAAGGTGCTGGGCAGCCACGCAGGAGGCAAGTCTCGCCTGAAGGTGCAGTGCCCAGGGCCCAGCTACCTGACCAACAAGTCGGGCAGGAACCAGCGCAGCCTGTGGGAGCGAGGGCTCCATCCTGGTGGCAGGCCTCGAGCGGACAAGCAGAGGGTGAGGGCAGAGGGCGTCCCTGCCTTGCGCTCGCAAGGGCCAGTTCCAGGACGCGCCCAGGAGCGCTACCTGGAGTGGCTCAGCATGGAGGCGGAGCCTACAGGCGGAGCCTCAACCGCGGCCAGCAGCTCGGGCAGCGGCCCAGCGGCTCCCGCGGCAGAGCAGGTAGTGGAGTCGGCGGCGGCCAGCCAGGCCCGAGCGCTGGCGCCCTCGGCGCATGCGGGGCCGCCGAGGACGAGCTCGCAGCCGCGGGGCCCGCGCCTAGCGGCGGCCTGGTGGGCCGTAGGGTCCGCCGCCGCCTGGCGCGCCGCGGCTCGGAGTCGTCGGGGAGTGATTGAAGGCCTTCCCGCCTGTCCGCCCGCGTCTGTTGCTCCCGTGTGAGTAGGCGCGCGAGGCTCGCTTGCTTGGGACTCGGCGTCTCTCGGGAACTTTGGTACCGCCTGGCCCTGTCCCCGTTTTCCTTTCCTTTCGCCTTTAAGGTCCCGACTATAACTATAACTATAACTTACAGCACATCCATGCACACAGCCGCGCCCACAGGCCCGCGCGCATGGGCACGCGGACATGGGCACACGCACACGCGCACACGCACGCGCGGTCCCGCGACGGACTGGCGCCGCCCCCCGCCGCCGCCGCACCCACCCACCCCTTTTGTGACATCCGACGAAGAGATGTGTCGCCGCACCGCGTGTGCCGACGCGCGGCTGCCCCCCCATCCCCCCCCCCCCTCTCTTGGCCCGCCAGCCCTTTCGCTAGTTCGTGCCCTTTGCTAGCTTCTCGCTGGAGCGGAGCTCGCCGCCTCACCGCCGACGGAAAACAAGATTATCCCAGTGCGACCCTACCTAGGAGTTGGAACCCCTAGGAAAGCAGCATTAGTAGTAACAGTAACGCTAAGCTAAATCTAAGCTAAAGCTAAGCTAAAGCTAAGCTGAAGCTAAGCTAAAGCTAAGCTAAAGCTAAGCTAAAGCTAAGCTGAAGCTAAGCCAAAGCTACGCTAATGCTAAGCAGCAGCTGAGCAACAGCTAAGCTACAGCTGAGCTACAACTAAGCAAAGGCTAAGCTAAAGCTAAGCTACATCTAAGCTCAAGCTAAGCTAAAGCTAAACTAAAGCTAAGCCGAAGCTAAGCTAAAGCTAAGCGAGACGCTAAGCTAAAGCTAAGCTACAGCTAAGGTAAAGCTAAGCTAAAGTTAAGCTAAAACTAAAGCTAAAGCTAAAGCTAAAGCTAAAGCTAAAGCTAAAGCTCCCAGGGGACTGGGGGGAACCGCTCCCAGGGGACTGGGGGAACCGCCCGGGGCATGTTGCACTGCCCGGCCCCTTTTTAAGCTAAGAGAGTAAGAACCCTTCTAGGCAGAGCCTAGTCAGGGAATGTGTTCGGACGCGCGGCCTTCCGTTTTGGGGAGGGCGCCGCTGCCACCGGGGCAGCTTCCGCCTCGGACGCAAGGTTTGCCATGGGCTTGCCGTGGTGTCGGCCTCGTCTACGGGGGCGCGTTGCGGACAAGAGGCGCGGCGAGTCCCATCGCGGCACTTCTCCTCGATATCGACCCCCCGGGCCTTTTTTTCCGGCCCCCAGGGCCATCGGAACTGAACCTGGGACGATAGGCGGTTTCCAGGAGAGGGATCGAGACCTCTTTGGGGACCCGGATGGACACATCGCGCCTCTTCCCCAGACCGCCGACGTCATGATTTTTTCATGACGTCGACCCCTAGAGGTCTCGACCCATTCATTCCCCAGGACCGGTTTTTCCTCCCGAGTTGTTTTTTTACGGCCCTCTGGCCCCGTAGCTACAGGCCCCCAGAGGCCGAACATGGCGCCCAAACCTCCCGTCATGATTTTTCAACTGCTCGAGGGAGTCTTGGGTTCAAGAGAGGGATCGAGACTTCGTTGGGGCCTCGGATGGGAAAGTCGCACCCCCTCCCTCGAGGAAACCATTTTCTCGCGGCGTGGCCTCTTTCTCCTCCTCCTCCTCCTCCCCCTCCTCCCGTTCCTCCTCCTCCTCCTCCTCGTCCTCCTCCTCCTCCTCCCCTCCTCCTCCTCCTCCTCCCTCCCCTCCTCGTCCTCCCCTCCTCCTCCTCCTCCTGGCTCCCTCCTCCTCTTTCTCTCCTCTCCTCCTCTCCTCCTGCTCCTCCTCCTCCCCCTCCTCCTCTCCTTCCTCTCTCCTCCTCCTCCTCGTCCTCCTGCTCCTCCTCCTTCTCCTCCTCCTCCTCCTCCCGCTCCTCCTCCTCCTCCTCCTCCTCCTTTTCCTCCATTTCTGTCGTTATGTCTAATTTCTCCCTGTCGCACCCCGAGGCCTTTTTCTAGGGCGGGTCGGGCGCTTCGCCTGAGACTTCGTCACCATTTATGACTCTGAAGCTTGAATGTCGCAACCGTTTCACAGATGGAGGGCGGGTGGTTTTCAAAATGTGGCTCTCGCGTTCGCGCCGCGCGCATTCGTTTAAATCTATGTTGCAAGAGATTCGCGGGTTGAGGGTGGCTACTTTTCAACATGTGGCTCTCGCCTTAGCGCCGCGCGCATTCGCTTTAAACAATTGGAAGAGCTTCACGGATTGAGGGCGGCTCCTTTTCAATACGTGGCTCTCGCTTGAGCGCCGCACACATTTGTTTTACACAATTGCAGTAGTTTCACGGGTTGCGTGCAGTTCCTTCCAAAATGTGGCTCTCGCCATGGCGTTGTGCGCATTCGTGTTGCATATTTGCAAGCGTTTCACGGATTGAGGGCGGCTCCTTTTTCAAAAGGTGGCCCTTCGCCTTAGCGCCGCGCACATTCGTTCATCAAGCTTTTTAAAGTTGTACGGATTCCGATGATCAGCATACCAGAAATTGTGTTTGGGAAGGGTTCAGGATTATGCGGGTGCAATAGTTATGTTGGTTCGCGGTGTTGCAGTCCCAAAAATGACGTTCTGGCACGGTTCCAGATCGTCAAGGCGCATCTGCCAGGTTGATCCGTGGCGTTGGAATCCTGGGAAACATGTTTTGGCATGCTTCAGGGTCTTCAATGGTGTCTTCCAACGAGGCAGTTCCCTCAATGGCAAAGAATCGTTGTAGGGGCTTATGAAGAGGGAGCCTGGAGGAATGTCTAATTCCAACATCGTAGATGTCTCTGTGGTTTACACTGGTCCTCTCCTCCCTCCTCCCCCTCCTCCTCCTCCTCCTCCTCCTCCTCCTCCTCCTCCTCCTCCCCCTCCTTCTCCTCCTCCTCCTCCTCCTCCTCCTCCTCCATTCCTTCTCCTTAAAGATAGCTTCTCCCTGTCGCACCGGGCGGGCCGGGCGTTTCGCCTGAGACTTCCTGACCATTGATGATTCTGCAGCCTAAAATGTGGCAAGAGCTTCATAAATGGAGGGCGAGTCGCTTTCAAACTGGCTCTGGCCGCAGCGCCGCGCACATTCGTTATACAAAATTGCAAGAGTTTCACGGATTGGGGGCGATTCCTTTTCAACATGTGGCTCTCGCCTTAGCGCCGCGCGCAAGAGTTTTAAACAGAAAAAGTTTCACGGAATGAGGGCGGCTCCTTTTTAATATGTGGTTCTCGCTTGAGCGCCGCGCACATTCGTTTCAAGAATTTCCAAGAGTGTCACGGATTGAGGGCGGTTCCTCTTCAACATGTGGCTCTCGCCTTAGCGTTGCGCGCATTCGTTATAACAAACACGTTGCAAGAGTTTCGCGAATTGAGGGCAGTTCCTTTTCAAAATGGGGCTCTCGATTTAGCGCCGCGCAAATTCGGTTTGAAAATTGCAAGAGTTTCACGGATTGAGGGCGGTTCCTTTTCCAAGTGCGGTTCTCGCTTTAGCGCCGCGCACATTTGTTCTTTGCAAATTCGCAGGAGTTTCGCGGATTCCCATGGTCCGCGCACCAGGAACGGTGCTATTGAAGGCGGCTCTTTTTCAAAGTGCGGCTCTCGCTTTAGCGCCGCGCACAATCATGTTACTCCAGATGTCTTAATAAAAGGGAGGGGGTCTGGACCCTCCAAGACAAGCCATTTCAGACCTCCCCCGTGGGAGAACCCTCCAAAACATCATCCCCAGACCCCCCCAGGCACTCCAAGATAGCCTGGAAGAGACCCCCCCCCGAAATGAGACCCCCCTCCCTTTATTACGAAATCTGGAGTAAACAAGTTGCACGAGCTTCACGGATTGAGGGCGGCTCTGTTTCAGAGTGCGGCTCCTCGCCTTGGCGCCGCGCGCGCTTGTTTTTTTTTAAAGTTGCAAGAGGTTCACGGAGTCCCATGGCCAACGCACCAGGCATGGCGTTTTGGACGTATGCAGGCTTACGCGGGTGCAATAGTGATGTTGGTCCGCGGTGTCGCAGTCCCGAAAAGGACGTTCTGGTACGATGCTGGGCCATCGAGACGCAGCAGTGAGGTTGATACGTGGCGCTGAAATCCCGAGAGCAATGCTTTGGCACGCTTCAGGATCTTCAAACTGTTGCCTTCCAGCGAGGCAGTTCCCTCAATGGAAATGAACCGTTTGAGGGGCCTATGAAGAGGGAGCTTGGGGGGAGGGTGAATTTCAACATCGTTGATGACTCTCGGGTTTCCACTGGTCCTGCTCCTCCTCCTCTTCCTCCTCTTCCTCCTCCTCCACCTCCCCCTCTTTCTCCTCCTCCTCCTCCTCCTCCTGCACCTCCCCCTCCTCCCCCGGGCAGGCCGCGGTGCCCGTGGCGGTGGAGGCCTCGGTGCCCGTGCCCGTGGAGGCCGCGGTGCCCGTGCCCGTGGAGGCCGCGGCCTCCAGCACGGCCGCCGCCGTCGAGGCCAGGGGGCCCCCTTGGCCCCGCCGGGGGCAACATCGGGCCCAGACCCCCTCGGGCAACGAAAAAATCATGACGGGAGGTTTTTCGCCATTTTCGGCCTTTGGGGGCCCTTACTGGGCCGCGGGGCCGTCAAACATCGATTCAGGACGAAAAACCGGTCCGGAGGAATGGGCCGAGATCTCTGGGGGTCGACGTGATGACAAAAGCATGACGTCGGGGGTCTGGGTCTATGCCTCCCAGATGGGGTGGGTGCGAGTGGATGGGGTTGGTCGGAGCGGCTGCGATGCACTAGCGATGCGGCTCTATGCGCAGCCCGATGTTCTCCACGCTGGCGTCGCCGATGCATCGCAGATGTCGCCGATACATAGCGGATGCATCGGCGATGTGTCGCCCATGTATCGGCGATGCGGCGCGATCCTCCGACCCCATCTACAGTGGAGGACCATACCAAGAAACACCCTGCTTGCCTCCAGGGTGCCCAGGGTTTCTTGGGTTTCGATGGTTTTGCTGCTGAAAGCGTGACGTTCCAACGCCAAAAATCAGTGGACGTCCTGGGGTCTCAGGTCTGGGTGTCTTGTGGGAGGTTTTTTGTGGACTGGCCTCCACTCTACTCCGACCCAATCTAGGAGGCTTCCAGGGAGGAGACGGGATCACATAGGTCAAAGGAGGAAAATGTGCCGCCAGAGGCCCAGAGTTGGACGCCGGCACCAGCACGGACGGTGTGCCTCCGCCGAGGGGAGACGATTTCGATCTTGGTGGTGGTGGTGGTAATTCACGGGCGCTTTCTATGGGGCGTTCCACAAAGGCAAAAAGGGCCTCGCCTTCGAGGGTCGAAGGAGTTGCCATCTCTTCCTCGGCGGAAGGCGGCGGAAGGGCGGCGGAAGGTCGGCGGAATCAAAACGAGGCCGCCTCCGCCGGCGGAAGCTGGCGGAAGTGCGGCGGAAGCCTCGACGGCTCGAGGGACACACAGCGTGCTCTTGTGCGTGCTGGGTCGCAAGTCCCAGCCCGATCACCGACCTTCTTCCCTACTGCCGCCATGGCCAGCGCCGTGAGGCGCACGTCATGGGGAGGACCTCCGAGAACCCAGAGGTCGGCGAGGTGAGCGCTGGACCACAGCACGACGGTCCTGAATCTGGAGGTAAGATCGACAATGCCGACAACGGCCCCCAGGGAACAAGTGCATATGGGTGGCAAGAGGGCCCTGCGACGGGCCGTGCGAACATTGAGATAGGAAGGACAGGTGTGGTACCATGGCAAGAGGTATACCAGAGCCACAGCAGCCGCACTTCCCCCAGTACTGCATGAATTCACTGCTCAAGGAGCAGGACCGACATCCACGCGTTTGGCTGCGACACCAGCTCGTGCATCGCCTACCGCACCAAGTACGGCCACCAGCGCCGCCGTATACTATCACCACCGCCGCCGCCGAGACTACCGCCACACCCAGCTGCTCACCGTCTGGACCTACAAATGCGAGAGCCTACTTCGGGCAGATCGCTTGGCGGAGATCCTCAGGCTTGCGAGATCCAGGAGAGTGGCAGTCGTCAGCCTCCATAGCACGCTCATGGAGCTTAGCATTCCCTGGGCCGCAGAAGGCTACATAATCATCCCTACCCCGCGTACGACACGAACGAGCAGAGATGGCTGCTTGATCGCACTCGACCTCCGTATATTCGCTCTCTCAGAACTTAGAGTATGTCATACGTGGCTAGACGGCCGACTACACGGTATTCGCCTCACACGAAAGGGACCCAAGGACAGATACCTATACGTTCTGAACGGCTACGCCCCCCTCAACGAAGTTGGACCAGCGAAGGCTGGTGAAGACCAACACCAGAAGAGCACCGCCCACCGAGACCTCCAGGACCGCTTTTGGGACACGTGCAGGTCCGCCCTGAGCCAGTTGCCGCAACGGGTCGCCCTCGTGATGACCATGGATGCGAATGCTGCTCTGGCGCCCCAGCTCCCGCACGTTGACTTTGCGGGCCAATTCCGCATGCACGCCAGCCTGAACGGCAACGGTGCCCGCTTGCTAGACCTCCTCCAGACGTTCCACTTGTCCGCCCTCAACACCTTCGGCAAGCGTACGAGACATAATGGAACGTGGAAGCATGTGATCGGCAAGGGTTGGACTACCATCGACTACATCTGTGTTAGATTATGTGGAGCCTACGGCACCAAGCCCCACCCCTAAAATACCGACCAGTCAGCCTTGGACGATATCTAGACCACCGCCCAGTCGAGGCCCACATCTATGCTGGCGCGCGTGCAAAAAAGAAACCCAGAACCCAAGCCAGCCAGATGGGACCGCGAGGCTCTGGTGCAGGACCTGCGCATAATGAGTGACGAGAGTGCCCACGTCCCACCTCGCCTTGCTGCGATGCATGAGCACCTCCAGACTATTCTCCGCCAGCGGAACCTAACTCAACCTTGGCATGGGGTCTGCGGAGAGGGCCAGCAGTACGGCGCGCCCTCCGACTATTTCAATGCGCGGGGGCACGCGGTGATCGAGGCGGCGGCCCCGCACTACCTCCTCCAGCCGATGAAGGTGAATAGGCCGAAGCTGAAGGATGAGACCTTGGCCCTGATTGACCTGGAGCACGAGATCCAGAGGCGCATGGCTCTCCACGCGGACCAGACCACCCCCGCCCACGGGCGCCTCCAGAGCAGGTTCGACGAGGCAGCCAGAGCAGCAGCCAATGCAGTTCGAGCCGAGCGCCGCCAGCACCTCGCTGAGACGGCTAGAGAAGCAGGAGCAGCAGAGGCCGCCATGAACCTCCGCCGCCTGCACGCCGCGGTGCGCCGCCTGGCTCCTAAGCCAGTGGCCCCCGTCGTCGCGGTCACCAACTCCGCAACTGGAGGAGCGTGCCAGGACGCAGAGGAGGAGGTTGAGGTCAGAGCCCGAGCGTTGAGCACCATATCCGATGGCACAATCATTGACATGAGCAGCCTTGGTGGACCCGCAGGCCTCCTTCCGAGAGATGACGCGCGCATTGGCACCCACGACGTCGACGACGCAACGACGGCCATCCGCAACATGCCGAACTACAAGGGCGCCCCTGTCCTCAAGATGCCCGCGGTGAGAGACGCGGAGCACGCCATCGAGCCCAACGCCGATCACCACGCCGACCGGCCCCCGGATGGATCAATCATTGAGATTTGGAAGTTATGCCTTACCGAAACGGCCCCAGCCCTCCAGAACGCGCCCCACGCCTGCCAGGCCCTTGGCCACGCGGCCCACTGCTTCAAGGGTGGCGAAACGGTCTCCCTCAGGAAGCAGAAGGGCGTCGGCGAGAATGCCAAATACCATTGCAGAACGATCAACCTGATCAACCACATTGGCAAGGTTTCCATGAACGTGACGGTCATGCCCGAACTTAGCGGACTGGCGCCTCTTTTATCGTTCTCGCAGTTCGGGGCTGCGGCGGGTAGGTCTACTCGTGACGCCCTTGCAGCCGTCGCTGAAGTTGTCCGACGGTACCGTTTGCATGGGCGCAGGTCTCGGCTGGGTTCTTGCGCAGCGCGTTGGCATGCTCCTGGCAGTTCTGATTGACCTCGAGAAGGCGTTTGACCTGGTAGATCGCGATGGGATTTGGACCGCGCTCGAGACGCTCGCCGTCAAACGCAGCGCCAGACTCACAGCCGAGGAGCTCCACGACGGCACGTGCTACATAGCCCGTGACATCAGGACCAACATGCCCACCAGGCAGCTCCTCATTCCGAAGTGGGTCCGCCAGGGCAGCGTCGAGGGCCCGCTGCTGTTTGTGGCAGTGTACGACCTCCTCGCGGCAGCCCTCGAGAGCAGCCGCTCAGTTTCGGAGTTTCCCGAAGTACTCGTCACAGTTGACACTGAGCTGAAAAAAAGATTAGGCGCCAGCATAACCTCGAGGGAGATGAAGGGGAGGGAGAGTGGTAGTCTCGCCGAGTAAGTTCGTGGATGACTTGATCGCCTTCACCATCGTCGAGAACTTTGAGGCGGCCTCGCGATTCCTCGCCTTCCTGCATTCCGAAATCTCCCAGGGTAAGCTGAACGTAAACGACGCTAAGATCGAGATGCTAATCGCGGTGACGGGCACCAAGAGCAAGCAACGCACGACCAATATCAGAGCCAGGCAAACGAACATTAAGATGCACACCACACCTGTACACGCCACAGCCAGCGTCACATATCTTAGAGCTAAGCAGCGTGATGATGGTTCGGTGGTGGAGGAGGTTTCTCATAGGATTCAGGGTGGTAGCGCCGCGCATGCTCGCTTGGCCCGTCGAGCGTTTAAAGGTCACTTTAGCGTTCAGCTTCGGGTCCGACTGTGGTGCTCGCTGGTTCGATCGGCTCTCCTCTATGGCCTCGAGATAGCTGTCATGACCAAACGCGACCTCAACAGGCTGGAGCACTGGCAGACCCGTAGGCTTCGTTATCTTGCCCGTGCTCCCGCTCATGCGCAGCATGTCAGTAACGTGGGCGCAAGGGGGCTCGCGCGGGTGGCGACTGTGGCCTCAACCTTGTTGGAAAGACGGCTTGTCTGGTGGACGGGAGCTGTTCGGCCTGCCTTCCCCGACCTCATGAAGCAAAAGCCCCCGAATGGCGATGGCGAAGGCGATGGCCCCAAGTACGACCCCTCCCGTCTGGTTCGGGCTGTAGTGTTTGGCAGATTCAACTCCGAGGGCCCCCGTCATAAAGAAGTCAACTCTCTCTTGGGACTCCTACGTGGGGACTGGAGGCAGCTCCGGCAGACCATGGGCCCCCGGGCCCAACAAGATGCCCGAGATGCCCGCGCTCTGGGAGATCCCGAACCTGCTCCGACCTACCAGTGGCTTCGATGGCTGCGCCAGGTTCCCCGAGCTCATCTTCGGCGAGTGCGAAGGTACATGGCCGAGGATGAAGCGAAGATATCCGCGGGCGTGACTCCTGCCCCAGAGGTTATGATCAAGTGCCCTATCTGCCCCCGTATGTGTCAAGGCCCTAAGGGCTTGGCAAACCACATGTTTTCGGTCCACAAGAT